CCCCAAAAAAAAAAAAAAAAAAAAAAAAGTTTATTCAGTGGAGGGAAACTTACACCAGTGATCAGTACTGGTAGCACCATATAACCTGAAAAAAAAAATGTTCTAAAAAATAATTACTTCAGCAAGCATCTCAACCCTAAAGCCATTAATTGGGAAAGTGAGGCATTTGGCATGGAGTCTTCAGAAGGGGAGAGAGTTGAATGTAAACAGTTCGATCGGCTAGTTGTAGTTGACACTTTTACAAGCTCAGTCAAGCCTGTGGACTTGGCTTCTGGACCATTAGCATGGCTCCAGGCTAGCTGATGCCTTCGATGGGGAGGAAACTGATGCATACACATGGGACCGTATCTTAACGTCCAAACCGGTGCTGTCCAAAATGGTAGCCACGAGCCACATGTGGCTGTTGAACCCTTGAAACAGGAGAGTCCAAATTGAGATGTGCCATCAGTATAAAATAGACAGCAGATTTGTAAGACTTCTTATTAAAAAAAGGAATGTAAATTCTCTCATTAATATTTATATTGATTACACGTTAAAATAGTATCTTTGATATGTTGGGCTAGTCAATAAAATGTATCATGAAAATTAATTTCATCCATTTCTTTTTTTAAAATATAATTGTTCTACTATTTTTATTTTATTTTATTTATTTTACTTTATTTTATTTTATTAATGTTTTGGCTGTGCTGCGTGGCATGCTGGATCTTAGTTCCCCAACCAGGGATTGAACCTGTGCCGCCTGCAGTGGAAGCACAGAGTCTTAACCGCTGGACCGCCAGGGAAGTCCCCATCCATTTCTTTTTACTGTGTAATGTGGCTACTAAGCATTTAAAATTACTTACGTGGCTCACATTATATCCCTATCAGGCAGCGCTGGTCCAGAACATTCCAGCCTTCCCTCCATCTTTAGCTTTATGCACAAGCTGCTATAGAAAAAAACATTCGTCAACAATTTTTGTTTTTCTATCATCTGATGACCAGTTTTTGAACAACTCTTTGGCCCAACTCTATGGCCAATTTGATGTAAGCATTTAGGAGAGTAGGAAATACCAGCTCGACAGGGCTCTGCTTTAGAGTTTTCCCAGTTCAGGCCTCTAGCCAGCAACTCCGGATGCCAGCTTTTCTTTTCAGCTCTTTAATTGAGATGAAAATGTCTTCATTTGTAGGTTTTCTGCGACGCTCATAGCAGATAAACACGGAGAACTAGGTAAGTGTCCTGTAGACTGCTCAGTGGGTACTTTGTATATCGTGCACTAGAAGCAGAACAGCCTGATGTAGAGGGCCTATTATTCCTTGGGGAGCCAGATTCTACTTATGTGTCAGCTAGTTGCCTTGAACAGTAATAAGTTACATCAGCAGATATACTCACCACAGTTCATTAAGCACCAAATGGCAACTTTCCATGTAACATCTCATTGAACCCTCTCAGTGAGCTTTGCAAGGGGGTATCTTTACAGCTTGTTTAGAGACAGCAAACGTGAGACTCGGAGAAGTCAAGTCACATCGCTCATAAATGTAGAGCTGGGATTCAAATCTCGGTCTTCAGACTCCAAGAGTTATCCTGTCACCCACCACAATCTGCTCCCTCCTTCTCCCATCCCAGGAAAATTGAGCCAAGGATAGGGTTCACTTCAGGAGCCAGGGTCAGAGCTGGGCCCGTATCATGAACAAAAGATAGGATCCAAACACAGTGAACGGTGGCGGTGGGTGAGGTAAGTTGCCGTAAGGAGGCTCCAGAAGGCCCCGTCCTGGCAGAGTCCCCGTGGTCAGGAGGCAGGGGCCCATGAGCCGGGCTTTGAGGGATGAAGGGAAGAGTAAAGGCCCAGGGCTGTAAAGGCAGGGTAGGGGGTGGCAAGTCATCCCTTTTGGGGGCAGCGTATGTTGGTGGGATAGAGGTTGAGCCAGGCCAAGATATTGAGAGAGTTGCCAAGAGGTTGGGTGATTTTTTTCTGGGAAACCACTGAGGATTGATTGATTGATTTTATTTATTTTTGGCTGTGTTGGGTCTCCGTTGCTGCGTGTGGGCTTTCTCTGGTTGCCGCAAGCGGGGGCTTCTCATTGTGGTGGCTTCTCTTTGCGGAGCACGGGCTCTAGAGTTGCAGGCTCAGTAGTTGCGGCTCATGGGCTCAGTTGCTCCGCGGCGTGTGGGATCTTCCCCAACCAGGGATCGAACCCGTGTCCCCCTGCATTGGCAGGTGGATGGATTCTTAAGCACTGTGCCACCAGGGAAGTCCCTGCTGAGAATTTTTGAGCAGAGCTATGCTTTGGAAAGATCTCTCTGCTGGTAAAGCATAGGGTGAATTAATAGACAAGAGGCTAGAGATGGGGACACTGGTTGGTGGATAAATAAAATAATTCAGCCAAGCAGAGGAGAGGTTGAATCGGGGTGGTCATGGCAGAAATGAAAGAGGGCTAGGTTTCAGAGAAAGTATGGATATCATATGAACAAAGTCTCAGCGGAGAGTGTAGTCTGGTGCCAGACTCCCTGGGGTTAAATGGCAGCTCTGTCTCTCACAGGCCTCGGACAAGTCAATTAAACTCTTTGCCACCTCAGTTTTCTTCTATGGAAAATGGGCATAACAATAGTATAGAAATAACAATGATAGTGTAGGTAATAATAGCATAGAAATAATATGTACAAACAAGTTAGTGTAATCAAAATACTTAGAAGAGTGACAGGCTCATAATGGTGCTCAGTAAATGTTAGCTATTATGGTTATGATTATTCTTCAAGAAAGGAGCCAAGGGACTTCCCTGGTGGAGCAGTGGTTAAGAATCCCCCTGCCACTGCAGGGGACATGGGTTCGAGCCCTGGTCCGGGAAGATCCCACGTGCCGTGGAGTGAGTAAACCCCTGCGCCACAACTACTGAAGCCCGCGTGCCTAGAGCCTGTGCTCTGCACCAAGAGAAGCCACCACAATGAGAAGCCCACGCACTGCAACGAAGAGCAGCCCCCGCTCGCCGCAACTAGAGAAAGCCCCATGCACAGCAATGAAGACCCAATGCAGCCAAAAATTAATTAATTAATTAGTTTTTTTAAAAAAGAAAGAAAGCCAAAAGGGACAGGAATTCTGACCCTTGGCAGCGTGGCAGGCACAGCGGAGGACTCAGGCGGCGCCCTTGTTTGGGAAGGTGAATTTGTGCCCTGAGAGGCTGAGTTTGGGGTGTGGGCACATCACGTGGATAGGG